TGGGACATGGGGAGCCATTCCTGCTGCTGGTGGGAGCACAGGAGTGCTCACTTTCTTGCTCCCCACTCCATCCAGCTGGGTTTAATTTTAGAAACACAGTGCTATCTTGGGGCATCTTTTTCCATGGAATGCAAGTCTTTAAGTAAATAAATAACAGCTTTGTGGAGGCGGAACGACAGCCCGTAACCGCACTGCAAAACACGCACCAAGCGAGTGGAGCCTTGTTTCATTTGCATGTGGAAATACTTTGTACAGATACAGTGGCTGCGTTGCCTCCCTCTCCTCGTTCAGCCCCCTCTGGAGCTGGCCATGTGCATTGATTAGAAAGAAATTAAAACACCTTGAAATACCAGCTTTGGAGAAGTGGAAATGAAAACCCCTCCAGCTGCTGGGGTTCAGCTAGAGTTCTCTGGCACAGGTTTGCAAAAGCTATGGTTTACCAGTGATGGGCTGTTACTTGCTGTGCCTGTGCTGCATCTGGGACAGTCCAGAGGGATGTGCTCTGAGGCATCCTCAGTGAGCTGGGAGAGAAATAGTAGGCTATAAAGACGAGGGCAAGAAACTTGTGTTTAAATACCCCTCCCAGTCTGGCTGGCCAAGAGCCTTCTGCATGCAGTTGTATTGCTGATGGCTGAATGTCCTGGGTGTGTCCCTCAAAGCATGTTTGCTGGCTGGAAAATCCCATTAAAGATGTTTTACCAAAGCAAGAGACTGTTTTCACTGCTCAGGTCCAGCAGCTCTGACATGGCATCTGTTGCATAAGCTGCTGGTAACTCTGTTACCCTGAGTCAGCAAGGGGAGCCCTTTAAACTCCCAGTCCAAGCAAGACCTTACCACTGTGGCCTTGCTCTGATGTAGGGACTTGGAGATGCACCTCAATCTGCAAGATGAAACAAATGGTGTCAAAATCACCCAGGCTTATGGCTACTTGCTTTGCTCTGCTCCTGCTGTGCATTGCTGCTGCTACTGCTGGGACAAGACAGTGGTGAGATGACAAGACTCTGTTCATAAGGAAGTCGGGTGAGGAGCACCCACCTTGGGTGCATTAGGAGTTGGCAGTATTGCTTCTGGTTGCCTCCTCAAAGCCAAAGGGATGGCTAGACTGTGCCTAATCACAGAAGTGTGAGTCAGCTCCGCCAGGGTCTTTGAACCAAGTGGGCTTGAAGTCAGCATCTGTGGCTTGGAAAAAGCATCATGTAGCCTCCTGGTGCCACATGCAGATGGGATGCTTGAAGAGGTTTTGCTCTAGTCTTTCTCTCCTAAGATGGCAAACTTACCTTGTCCTTTTTCCTATAGCCCTTGGCAAGAGCATTTCTGGGCAAGACTGTGATAGTTTTGTATGTTTGTTCAGAGCTGGCTGTAGTATTTGAATTCACTGCAGGGCCTGGGGATTTCCAGCTACCCCTCAGCCTTGCTGGTGGCTTCCCTTCCCAGCAGGCTGCAGGGATGGGAGGATTTTCCATGTGATGTGGTTTTGCCTGCTCCTCCTCTGCAAACTACCTGGCTAAGCCATCTACTCTCCTTGCCTTCAGCCTGCTGCTTCCACTGATACCACCACAGCACTGGAGGGAATTTTATTTTTTGGAAAACCTAGTGAAGGTCTTCTCATGTGAGGTTGGGCGAGCTTTGCCAGTGTTCTCTATAAGCCCAGGATCAGGGCGGCCCTGGCAGCAGCTTGTCTTTTCCACTGATCTCAATTAAGATTCAGTCTTGGCAGGATGGAGACTTTTGAGCTGCCAGCTGCAATAGGAGAGATGAGGCTTCAGGGGTAGCAGAAATTATTCCCTTCACTCAGCTCATTTCTTGGATCTGGGATGAGGATGGCCCCAGGGGTTGATCTGCAGAAGCCAAGTGAGCCACATAGAGCTAAAACATTTCCATTCAGTGTCAGGCACAGGGTGGGGAAGGGCAGCTCTCTGAAGTGTGGAGACTGTGGGTGGCAGCTGGAGAGGGGATGGAGGGAGAGGAGGAATGGGTGGTGTAGCTCCACACACTGCCTCAAACAACAGCAACTCCAGCCTTGCTGGAACCGTGAACATGGGGACCCTTGAGTGCCGAAATTACCCTGATAAGGAAACCTAAGTTCATTAAGGCTGCAGTAACAGCAGGTCAGACTGTGCAGCTGAAACCCCTCTCTGCCAGCCCCCAGCAGCAGATGCTGCTGGCCCAGTCTCTGCCGGTGTGACACTGTGCAGCTCTGCTGATGTTGACAGCTTTGCCACAACGTGCACCAGCAGGTAACTGGCCCAGGGCATTACCAATGCAGCGGCATACATCTGATAGCATGTGTTGTTTTCCAAGCATAATACTAACACAGCTTTACAGTTGCCTAGACCTCCTGCTGTCTCCTCCTCTTCCTCCCCTACCTCCTGTCACACTGCAGCCAAGCTGCTCTTGACTTTGCAAATGCTGCTTTTGCTGGCCTTGCGTCCTTTCAGCTGGGCACCCTGAAAATATCATGGGTATAGAAGAGACTGTTTCTGTTGCACTTAAAGACTAAATTCATACAGGAAGAGTTTAGTAGTACTGAGTTTCTGATTTTGAGCAGGCTCTCCAGAATTTGAGATTACGCCCTCTCTGTTGACGGAGTCATTGATGAAGCAATTGTCTCTGTTGCTAATCTAGGGTTCTGGAAGCAAACCAATCATGAGTTGTGAAGCTTTGCTCCATGGAGTAACTGTTGTGTGGATGGATGGAGAGCCAGGGACAGTAGGCAGCTTGCCTGATGGTCATGGCCATGTGTGTTGCGTTGTGCACACGGAGCTGAGCAATGGCTGGTTGGTTGTGCTGCTCCACTTTGAGCAAAGCCCAGCACTGTCTCAGAGCATCCATCCCATGCCTTCTGGTGAACTTGCACTCAGCTGCACTTCACTGCTACTATTTTGGGTACCCTCTACTCCCCAAAGAAACAAAGAGGATAAGTGCAAAAATAGAGATGCTAAACTGAAAGTTTTCTAAACATGGCACTGCCAGCATGGAGGGACAGGGAAAGGTAGAGACAGCTGGATTTGTCTCAGCTAGTACTGTTTAAGCTTGTTGTGCCCCTGCTGTTATGACAGGGTGCGCTGAGTTCACCCAAAGCCCTTCTCAGGCCTAGCCTGTGACAAAGGATTCAGATGCTCCATCCTGTGCCTTCCTGGGGACTATGCCATGCATGCCAGGGGGTTGCCTGCAATCGTCATGACTTTGCAGTGCTCCTCACATCCACTGGTTTTGAGACCTAAGTTGAAGCTTTAATCTGAAATCCCAAAAACCTGAAAACCTGGTCAGCCCACTGCGACGACTCCAAGTGATTTTAGGTTCCCTGAAACACTAAGCTTTTCTTGGAGTGAGGCACTGGTAAGTGGAGGGAAGTGAACTGTGTTTCCAGTTAACTAATTAGCAGTTCTGTCTTGGCCAAAGCACACATGATGCAGCAGCCATTTTTCAGCTGTTACAGGCCTGCCTGACTGCTGCTGAGGCAGCAAGGAGGAGCTGAGAGCTAGCAAAGCAAGAAGCTGAGAACTAGCAAAGCGCCAAGGAAGGGGCAGACCGAAGGGCCAGATTCTGTTCAGTCAAATCCCATGTAAAGCTGAGTAACGTCAGCAATTTACAGGAATTACTGCAGGTCACCAGTGGCTTAGAGTAGCTAAAAAAATTAATTCCCCTTTTTAGTGCTCAGCTGTTGTTGCTTTTAGAATGTGGTTTTGAGTGGTTCCCATTCAGAAGGGGTCCCTCCCTGAGGTATTTCAAGTCATGTCTTCCCTCCATACCCCACTCCTCTCAGCACTTTCTGAAAGCACTATTCTCTTTGACATAGCTTTAATCTCTTAAAGAATTCTTAGTGACCAGCCCTGTTGCATCCAGTCTTTAACAGGACAGTCTGAGGGTGGGGTAAGTAGCATCAGGAAGTTGGCATGAAGGAAAGATAGGCCAAGCTGCCTCAAAGGACGCAGGCTGGATTCCCAGTGAGGAGACAATAACACACAAATGGAGTGTGAGCTGGGGCAAGTGAGAGCTTCTAGCAGGTAAGAGCTCTACTGCACGTGCACTGTGAGGGTTGCCACGATCTGCAGTATTTGCATTTGAGTTTTGTTTGATGTGCACAGAAGTGCAACTTGTGCTCTTATGGAACCCTTTAGGAGGAGGTGGTGGGCTTGGTGCTTTACTGTGTTCCTTCTGGTTAAATCTTCAAAAACCTGGTTCCAAATTAGGAAGCAGCTCCTAGAAAAACCATGTAAAGCTTTGCGCTCTCGTTTCAAGATTGGCAGCATTTGGAATCATAGAGTCACTTAGGTTGAAAAGGACCTCTAAGATCATCGAATCCAACCATTAACCTAATACTGCCAAGTCCACTACTAACCCATGTCCCCAAGTGTACCTGGAAAAAAAGACCCTTTGGGAGTACAGCTGCCATCTCTGCCTTCTTGAAGAGCCCTGTGGGTGGTTACTGTGAACAGCTCAATGGACTGGTCTTCCTCAGGTAGGAACACGCCTTCTTGGTAGCAGAAGAAGCTCAGATGGTTCAGAAGGGGAATTTCCCTTAAAATTTATTCATGATACAGGAGGAACGGCCTTTTACATGGGCACTTCCCCAGACCTTGGTTTCAGTGTGCAGTCACTCAGACTAAGAGGAAGAACTCTGGAGGCACCAGCTCCTTATGTTCCTCTGCAACAAAAAGCGGTGCTGTTACACACAGCCACTGACTCAGAACAGGCTTGTGGCAGGAGCTGGGATAATGACAAGAGATGATAAATTATGATGCTAAACCCACAAGATTACACAGTTTAGGAACAGCCAGATTGTGATGAGTTTCACTCAACAGCAACAAAAAACACAGATTTTTTTATAGTAATAAGTTATTGTGAGCAGTCCCTTGCTAATTGCTGACTAATTATTGCAACTTGTAAAGTCTGTCTTGGTGCTTGTCCCAAGGTAACTGTTCATAAAAGCTTGTGGGTTAAAACATAGATGTTTCTTTGACTGAATAAAAAGGGTATTCAAAGTAATGCAAAACATACTCCATTACAACTAGTATTTATTAAAAATACAGTGGACAAAAAAAAGCAAGCCTCCAAAAGGTAGTCAGTTCATCAACATATATTACACCATGGCCCACCCAGGACCACTGAAACATACAGCGCTCTCAACTCATTTCTCTCACAAAATGTTGACTCATGCTTGGTTCATTACCTATAAATGTGCATAGTTTAAAGACTTGATAATGTAACATGAGCATAAAATGGCACCAAAGTCAGTTTGCCCTACACTTCCAGCCACTCTCAAACCAACAAAGTAGTGAAATGTGCGTAAGTAGCAAGATGTGCTTGGTGGTCATGTGTGTGCTTCAGTAGTCCCTTGTATGGTCCTGAGTCCTTTGTGTGAGCTTTACAGCATGACAGCAAACTTAGCAGCAGCTAGAGAATCATGTGCCTAAAGCATCAGTTTATTACTACTGAGTACATCTAGTTTCCTTTTCACTTTCAAAATTATTTAGAGACTGGGTGAAAGTTTGGGTGTTTTGTGTATGCTGAGTGCAGGTAAGTGCTTGTGTAAATCAGTTAACAGGTTACACACGTGCTTCCTTTTCCTGGCAATTTGTTTCCATGCTGAGCTAAGGAGACTTTTGTGCTATGGGCACAGCGATTCCACAGATGAACACAGTCTCTTGTATTTGCAGGATCAGGGAGAAATTGTTGATGCTCAGTACGGCAGTGCTAGGTACGCTCCTGAGAAGCACAGTGATATCAAGGGAGTCAGGACTGTAACACTGAATATAGGTGTACAAATGTTCATGGAATTTTGGCATCAAGTTTTCCAGACTCCTTTCCCTTTCAGCTATAGCTGCTATGTCTGTCACTGTATGTGCCTTATCTCCCAGTGACAGTGAATGAAGAATCAAATTCATTCACCTGCAATGGAAAAAAATGCCTTTTGTGGTAGCTAGTGTATGAGATTTGTAGTAAAACCTATTGCCTCCTCATCTTAAACCTGTGCTTACTTTAAGTGAGCACGATGGGTGTTGGCAGTGTGGTATGTGCTTTAATAATGCTCACAGTAATTTAATGTTATTTCATGAGAAGCAGCTACTTGCAAAGCTTAAGATACCCTTTTTTTTTAGAGTCTTTGACCTTATTAGAGCTGTCTTCAACTCTGTGCATATGGAGAGGAAGCACCCTGAATCATATGCAACTTCACATAACCCATAAGCAGTAGTAAACTAGTAATACCCTGTTTAAAGCACTTAAATTAACATCTGAAAAGGATCTATCAGTATTAACAAGAATGTTGAGTAATTTCTTATCTAGGACAGTCAATTATCAAAACTATTTAATGTTACATGACAGTGGCCACTGCTCTATTTATGGAGACACTCAAGTGCTCCAAGGCCAGAAGACTTCATGAAAGCAAATCAGAGAAACATGCAGGAAAACACTCTGGCCAAGGCAAAAGCAATTACCTTACTCTTTCAAGTGGCTATTAGTATTAACTTTGTTTTATCTGTCAGGACTATGCAGGTTGCTGGTTACTAGGAACTGCACCGTAGAATTAAAAAATTTGGAGTCTTCTAGGGTTTGGTGTGACATCTCTTTCTAAAGTCAGGGAGAGCTGATACCTACTTCTGTGCACAGCACAATTAAGCCCTTAAGCATGCAAATGCAGGGCATCAGTGTATTCCAGTGGTAAGGACAAAATGCCAGAACATGCTTCTAACGTTGTAAAACATGTCTTTCAGATCAGCAAAATAATTCTTTCAAACCTAGAATTCCTGTTTCTGCATCATGTTTTGCAGAGAACTGGGCAGCTGCCATCTTCTTTGTTCTTTTGAAAATCATATCCACATATTTCCCACATCCAGGTATCCCTCTTAAAAGGAAAGGCTGGGCCTGTTCAGCCTCCAGAAGAGGTGACAGAGAGGATCTCATCAATGTCGATAAGTATTGGAACAGGGGGAGTGCCAAGCAGATGAAGCCAGGCTGTTCTTGGTGATGCTGAACAGTAGAATAAGTGGCAACAGAAAGAAGCTAATGAACAGTAAGTTCCACCTGACTATGAAGAAGAACTACTATGCAGGTGACCGTGCACTGGAACAGTGCACTCTGCTGTATGGTGAGGTTCCTCAGCTATGTTCTTCTCACTGCCACCTTCTAAATTCAACCAAGGAAGTTAGGAGAACAGGCAGATAGACACAATTCTGAAATCTTAATCCTTGTCTTAAAAATAGTTGCCAAATAACAGCACTTTCAGCGCTTGCTTCATTTCCAGAGCTCACAGTTGCATGGTGTGATTACAGCAGGTGTCAGTATTTCACAGCACAAAGGAAAAAAAATCCACCAAAACTCAAACCAAAAACCTCTGTGGTATAACCACGCATCTTTCCTCAAGCTCATTGTGAGGACACTAAAATGGAGGTATTGGCAGAGCAGAGAAATTTGTCCTCTAGAAAACACATATGGTTTTTAACAGGGATAAGTGGCTTCACTGGTCACCCAGCAGTAAGCTGACAGAGTAAGGCAATACTGTAGTCATGGGGTTGCTGTACTGTACACCTGCTGATGTCTCCAAGCCCACCAGATGAGAAAAAGTAGTTCTGTAAGAGGCTGAACATGAGCAGTGGTCATTTGGAGGGCTGGAAGTACCTGGATATTACCTAGACCCTTGAGAAGTCTCCCCTCTGCCCACCTGTCTTACTAAGCAACTTCACATCTTCGATGACAATGTCATGAGTAACTGCTTTGCACATGTCATACACCGTCAGGGCAGCCAGGCTGGCAGCTGTCAGAGCTTCCATCTCCACACCTGTCCTCCCCCAGGTCTGACAGGAGCTGCGAATCACCACTGCATATCTAGCCTCATCCAGACTCAGAGACACCTCAACATGGTAGAGCGGGATGTTGTGACACAACGGGATCAACTGGCTGGTCAGCTTGGCTCCCTGAATTCCTGCAATCTGGGCTACTGCCAGCACATCCCCTTTCTTCACCTGGTTTTGCCTCACCATCCCAAATGCCTTCTCACCCAGCAGGACCACAGCACCAGCAACAGCACTTCTTCTTGAATCTGGCTTCCCTCCAACATCAACCATTGTGGCCCGTCCTTCCTCATCAGTGTGAGTCAAGTTGTCAGAGGCACGAGGTACCTTGGTGCAAGATCCCAAATCCATGGTATAGAATTCCGATCCTGAACTTGCCTCTTTGGACTGACAGTCCACAGAAACTTGGCCAACAAGAGAAGTGTCAAGGCACTTTGTATCAAATGTGGAGCTTGGGTCCTTCTGGAAGACACAGTAGCCTCTGAGCTGGGTTTGTAGAATTCCTGTTATGTGCCACTGTTGCTCTGGGTGAGATCTCGGCAGGAAAAGTTGTCCTGTAAGCTTATTTTTCATTAATGCTTTCCCCTTTTGTCTGGGTAAACTTGCTCTCAAAGTCAGCCAATGGCTAAATGTGTGGCCCCACTGTTTTGAATTTGAGGGATTCTGTAGGGCATCTTGGCATAGTGGGAATGACATCAATGCAGGCTCTGGGGAAAAACACCAAAAAGTAACGTGAGAATATATCTTACTAACTGGAAAGCTAAGCTGTCTGTAGCAGGTGAGAACCCTGTAAGAGCACTGCTTGGGACTTCCTGTGATGCAAAAACCTCAATAAGCCTGCAAACATCTACTTTTTTCCTCAAGCTCTTTCTCTTCTCTCTCATCAGTTAGTTCCTGCCTTTCCTGGTTTGCTACTACAGTCCTCAGGACTCAAAACACTCATTTCAAGGTCCCTGACAAGAAGAAACAATTTACTTTCAAAAAGTATTAACACCGTTTGAGAAACAACAGCCCAGAAACCTTATAGTAACATCACTTCTGAAGAAAAGCGAGTCACAGCATCATTTGAGATCATCATAGCACCAGACTTCTTTCAAAAGCCTGGCAGCGTTAATAGGAAATTCTTACATTCAGCTTCTCAACTCTGCCTTTCCAAACACCTCCCTCCCCGCACAGTCGGCTGCACTTCCGCCTTTCATCTCCTTCTGCAGGGAAGGGTCATGCCAGCACTTGAGGACAGCAGGGACCAGAAGCACTGCATCTGCAACTGCACTGTCTACAAGCTCAGAGGGTGATGGGAACCTCTCATTACTGCCAGTTCTTAACACGTTAATGACAGCTGAAGTTTAAGCACTGGGAAAACCATACTCCCCTCATTGACAGACAGATTTTAAATCTACTCAGAAGTATGTTCCAAGTCGAGCTGGCAGAGCTCCTAGCTGGCAGAGAGGGAGTAGGCCCTCCTGCCCCTTTTCACCATTTAATCCCTTGGTTTTGGCATTTGCATCGGGCTAAATGCCAAGTGTGAAGACAGAAGGAGTCTTTTTCACATAAAAGTGAATAAAATGTTCTGTAAGTAAAGAAAGCAGTATAGAGGTAAGTGGCTAAGCTCCAGTTTAACAGCCTCATTGATAAGCATGTTTCTCTTTTTCTGAAGCTCCTGCTCTCTCTGTTCTGAGCAACATGGAATTAGGAATTTTGTTCAATAACCTCCTTTGGTAGCTCTGGTACTTGGGGACTCCCTTTTCTGCCTATCCACAGGTGCATCAAAATAGCTTCCCGACCCCTCTGCACATTGCTGAGCTACCTCTGCTGCCCAGACCTACAGGTATTGCCTTGGATTGTCCACATGCCAGACATAGCATGGATAAGGTTCTGGTTGTGCCCCCTGTCCCCCTCCTTTTTTAAGAACAAACCAACCAATCTCCTTTTAGCCTCTGCCAAAACAAGACTAATGTACTTAGGACCTTTTTCATCCAGAGTACCCTCCAAACATTCAAAGTACCCATTCCTGAAGGTTAAATCAGCCATTCATTTATTTTTTTTTAATCACTGCAATAATTTTAGTTCAGACAAAGGCCCTTTTTGTTCTACAGCTGATGGCTTATCCACTAAAATTAAGATTTCTGTGAGTTTTGAGGTAATGTATTTACCTTCAGAGTAATGGGATTAAATAGACATAAATGGACTGAGCGTAACATTGCTCTGCTTTAGAAAAGCACAGAAAATTTTGCTTATTGCTCCTTTCTTTCTCTTTCTCTTCATAGTGGGACCTAACCTTAATATTTCCTTAAAAATTCTGAATGAAAAGTACTTCTGGATTCCCTGATTAAAGCTGAAGCTAAACCGCCGGCAAGGCATCTTGTCATCAGAAGAAGCTGAACTGCAAAGGCAGACAAGGACTTCCTTCCACAGGGTAAGCACACATGGGCTGGAGCAGGGAAGAGAAGCACTGTTTGCTCAAGTAGAGTGATAAGTAAACAGACAGTAGGCAGTAATACATGCAAAGAATCTCCACTTTTTCTAACAACCTACACTTCTTGAAGTTGTACCTAGTCATGTCTATTTTCACCCAAACTGCTCGCATACCTATAAAAACATAGATAATGGTTTTCTGTATAACATTATACCAAAACCATCTGACAAATCCCATCTTCTTATATTCTATTACTGCACCTGAAGTTTAATTGTGTTAGCTTCCAACTAGCACAATCCCAGGGGTAGAAAAGAAGGCAGGAGGTACTTAAATTAATGAGGAAATTCCCATAACTGAAGTAAACCCATGAGGAGAACAACCTGCCAAAAGGAATATTTTGGTTAAGGGAAACAGGATACAAACCATATAGCAAAGGATCAGACAACAGCAGTGCAGGGAAGATGCCAGGTTTGGCTTACTGGGCCTAGCAAAACCACTTAGTTATTTCCACAGCATTCACTAAATTTCATTAAATTAATTCCATGCACACACTCCCCCACTGACTGCTTGCACGCCAGTATTATTTGAAGTTTGTAAGTAATTCAAAACACAATTAGGAAATCTCCTAATTATTCCCCATGTGTCACAATGGGATACTCTCCACTCATCTCCAATCTCTTCATTGATGCGGTGACTGCCAGCAGTCAGTCTCAAAGGGATATGGAACAGCTAAGGGAGAAAGACCTGGACAGGCTGCCTCTTTCAGTGTATTTCAGACAATGTTAAAGCACTTTTCAGAAGGAAATGGGATGGATCTGATCTGTAGATATCCAAACATTGCTATGAATGCTAACTTTGGAGTGTGGGAATCCTTCTAAAGGCATCTTGAAAAATTATGGAGGACCCAGAGAGCTGTCAAAAGTATAATATAGTATTTTTCATCTTAAGAAAGCCAGAATTTTTCTCCTAATGCAGCTAACACTTGAAACAAAGCGTTCTCCTTCCCATTTTCCTGGAACACAATGCAGCAGTGGCCAAATCAAAAAAGCAAAAGCCAACTCAGAGACAATCTTCCACCACTCACCATGGAAAATGACTGCCCTTTCAAGGGGAGCACCAAGTGAAATATATTCCCAGTGAAGAAAAGTACCCAAGGGTACTTTTTTAAAACTTGTGTTTTAAGCTGCCCAGCAGTTAACCTACTCCTAAACATCAGTGGGAGGATGAGAGTTTGGATTTGAAACATAATGTTCATCTCTTCCACCCTTGCTGCTTCTGGTTTTTTTTGTCCCTTACTAATAAGGAACAACAGAACATCTTGCAATTAATCTCACAATGCTAACTCCTGTAACCATTTCTTAAGGTCTTTGGGAAGATAGCTATCTTACCAAACAGGAAAACATAGGCATAGAGGAGGTAAAATCACACTGAAGGAGTTATAAAAAATCACTAAGAGAACCTCAGCAGTGCTACATCACTCATAAACAGAGCTTCAGGCAGAAGGGAGAGTTAGCAAACATCTTCAAGAGATACAAGAAGGAGCAGAAAAGCTCTTGGTCCACAGGGGTTTCACAGTTATATTTTGAGACTTTGCAGTAGTAAGAGGTAATTTCAAAAGAACAAAGCCCCACAGTTCAGATTCTAAAGTAATGAAGTAATGAGGTAGGAACACTTGCATTTCTGTCAGGTTGCTGGCTCTATATATTATAAGCAAAGCTGAATTTCTTTATTGAGTGATAAAAGTCCATCCTGCATCCTTTATATCTATGTGGCAATATGGTCAAAATTCACCCCAAACTGTCTTATAAGTTACTATACTATTCTTATGCAGTACAAAGGAAGCTGATAGGAAATAAAGTAGGAAAGCTAATTATCCCTTTGGAAAATGTAATGAACTTTCATAATTTGAGAAAACAAAACCAGTGCTGTCATTTAGAAGACTGGATAAGGCTTGGTAGCGACATTAAACCTTTCCTTCTCTCTCACTTCAGCATGTTAACCACAACTGCCTTTTAAGAAGCCCATTTCTTTGCCTAAACCTAAGCCAGAATCAAACACAAGATAGACTTGGAAGCCTAATCTATTCTGCTTTCCCAAAGACAGAAACCGAACAAAATCATTTTATGTTTTTTACGTACTGATTTGTCACCCACCAATCAGGATCATTGGCCGGTTTTTCATCTGGGAAATGTTAAACATGCCTAGAAATAAAATAAGGAACACATAAAAATCCTGGCTTTTTAGTTGTTAAGTCATGCAATCTGGTTTACATATTTAGTTTTCTATTCTTCACAGCGCAACCTGCATGCTAGGAAAAACAAAGCTCAATAAAGACTAAGGGAACTGGAAGAGGGGAATCTAGTCTGGTATTATTTAAAACCATAGTTGCCAGAGTCTCCAGGCATCCAGCTGCTATGGGTCTATCACACCATAGAACACTTTCCCAGAAAGTTTTCCGTAATGTGAGCTACAGTCTACCTACTATAGAATTCAAAGAACTTGAGACTCTCTTGTTTCTCAACAATAGTATTTGGCTGTACTAGTTCAATAGAGAAGTTGCTAATAAGTGTTCCAGTTCAAAGAAGTTCAGTCACAGAAGGTCCCAGGGACAATACTAAGATTAACAAAAACTGGAAGAAGACAGTGTCAGGTAAATGCTGCTGATGGCAAAATGCCGTTAGTACACTCTTCCCCACCCAACCCCTGCTTTCATAAATAAATGGTCTAAAACTAAAGGAACCAAGCCCTCCACTCCTTCCCTTGTGTTTACAAGGTACTATTTTATCAGACCAATGTACTTTTCAAGTTAATTGACGCTCAGATTTAAAGGCTACCTTTAAATTTGTTTTACACATTATGAAAAAAGGGGAAAAACAACTGTTATTAATCTGTCAGAATGTGCAAGAAAACAAAAGGGCCAAAGCATGTTTTTAGTGTAAAGGGGACTAATCCATGATGATAAAGCCAGTTCATGTACAAGAGGTCAGCATTCCCAGCTGCAGCCAGATTACAAAAATACAGTTAGGTTCAAGATGTGACTGTTTATATTAATATAAATTCAGAGAAGACTAATACGGCCTGAGAATGTGACTGCATCATCATGGACCTTGTGTACCTTCTGCAGAGTACTACATGAGTGCCTACAAACTTCTGCATACTTGGATCGACAGCTCAATTTAGCTTTAGCACTTCTTTTACTGCAAACTAATTTTAAGAAATAAAGTGATCCAGTACAACTGCTTAGCTTTACACTTTGCCGTTGTCATCATGAGCATCATTTTGAGGACAAAAGTCAAAATCTTTCAGACAGTCTGGATTCTAACTCACATGGAAGGTTATGAGTACCAGGACATTTTTTTCCCTAGTCACTGTTGTTATTTCTCAGTTACAACAAACATACCAGCATGCTGTTTCTTTTTTCTGCCCACTGCTGCTCCAATGATTTGAACCAGCTCTTCCTCTGAGGCACCAGACCGTAGGTGATCCCTCAAGGACACTTCTGAATTCCCAAAAAGGCACACCTGCAGCCAACCCAAGGAAACAGAAGCCAAGAAATGAGAAAGAATAAAATAAATTACTTTTACAAGTATTTTGTACTAACCTCAGAGTCAAGAGCTTTGAAGAGGCGTACCCTATTGAAGGGAACATTTATGGAGATTGTTTTCTTTATCTCTCCTCATGTGCACACACAGACCGCCTGGGATGTTTATGCAACCTAAGCTCATTGGGCCTTCAGGCTGCCTCGGTCATCTGACATTCAGCAGCAGCACAGCTGTTGTCAATATCAGGTGACAATACATAAGTGCCAATTTTTAATTGAAAACTTTAATTTTCCCCCAGAAACTGCCAGTTTCAACGTGGCAGGAAATGGTTATCCTCCTCTTTCTAGAATCATTGAGCAAATGTACAGGCTGCTCTTGAAGGAGAAGAGTTGCAAGATGTTTGGGAAACAAGACATGATCCTTGTGGAACGCAAAAGCCAAGCCCTCACAGCTGCTTGGATCCTTTTTTAATGAGAAATCATCTGCTTGTCACATGTTTAAGATGATTTTGAATCAAAGATTAGAATAAATGTTTATATTTACTAGTCTTGCAACCATGTTTTACAACTGAAGTTAACTATGGTAGCAAAACAGAGAAACCAAAAAAAAGTGATGTAACATCTCCCTAACAGCTTGACAAGATGGAACAAGAACATATATAGGATAAATAAACAGGAATTAGCTGGTAATGATTATGTGTCTTTACATCCCAGCTACTTTTATGGGATGCATTTCAACACTATTTTCACTGCATGAAAGCAAAGAGAGTCCTGTTTCACTACCAACTTTTAGGTTCCCATCTGCTGTTATCCTCAGCCGATTGCAGGATCCACAGAAGTGCTCTGACATGGAGGTGATAAAGCTGATTTGTCCCTGGAAATGTGGCACCTTATAACTCTAAAGAAATCGAGAGGAGAAAAAAAGAAGAATCAAACATAGACTCTTAATTTTTAAAGCTCCACTTGTCCAAAGACTGGAAGACATTTTTAACACAGATTTTCTTTAGTTCTAAAGTCATATGAAAGAAACAAAAAAACAATTTCATCAGGGGTTCCAGTCTATTCTGCCCTGTTCCTGGAAATTTCCAAACTTGTTAAATGTTTGCACTCGTAGTTATCAACTAACAGGTGATGCCAGTAGGCAGCATAACACTCAGGCAGCAGCCATGAGCTAGAAATCATCCATGTGACACTATACACTCTAAAGCATTAGTTATTTCACTGAACAGCTGTTTCATGAGCCATGTTAACGTGCAGTCATAGACAGACAAAAGTTTCAAAAGATGTAAATACAGGATATAGGCCTGCCAATTCTTTATATCTGACCAAGGCATCTAGGAAACACATTGTATTTGTAAAGGTAAAAACTATGACTAGCATTTATTGAGTGTCAAACCACATGCAGGCAGTCTGACTAAAATCCCAGATCAATGCTGAACTTGGGAGAATTTGGGGATCTAGGGCAGGGAAAGAATGGGGGCATGTTTCACATGTTCTTTGTCCAACCCCACCTTGGCTGTGCTGGAAGTTTCACAGGGTAATCTCTCCAATTCAGGCCATCGCTGTTTAATTGTATCAAGCATTTCTTTGTAGCTCACCATCTTCTTGAAGTTCCATTTATTGCCTAGAATTAACAAAATCAGTGTAACTTCAGACTGTGGCTTTTATTTTTTTAATTAGCAGAGAACCACCTTCACATTCTCCACAAATCTCATTTTTCCCTGTAGGAGTGCCAGCCCAAACTAATTCTGCTATTAATTGTTCTCCAGCTCAGGGAAGAAGATAAACTGCAAAAAATAAAACTTCTGGCAATTTCTAATTCACCAAAAGAGCTTCACAAAACTTCCAGAGACAAGTCCATAGGGCGAATAACCACCAATCAGATTCACCTCTGCCTAAGGCACACTCCACACCATGAAGAATCTCAAAGCAGGAGTACTTACCATCAAAGGGCATGTATTCTATGAACCGCACATCAAGGGGCAGGTCCTTTGTAAAATCTACAAAGTCCAGCAGTTCATCCTCATTCAAGCCTCGCATCACCACACAGTTTACCTGCAGGTAAAGCAGACACCTGAAATTACTGAGCAGAGTACTTCCCACTTACACAAGGTTTCACAGTCCTTGCAGAAGGCAACATAGATAGAAATAATTTTTTTTTTTTTTTTAAAATAAAAATTATGAGAGAAATTGGCAGGGTTGTAATGACATGGATGATAATTTCTGCCTAACTAGTCTAAGTTTTTGCTCCAACCTAATTAAAGTTGTTAAAGTTGCCTTGCTAAATGGAAAACTAATAAAAAAGCTAGGTAACCCAAGCATTGTCTTACCTACCTAAGGTATGGCAGCTTTTACTGTTTAAAAGGACAACGCCACTCCCCAGTCCTACACTGTATGGCTTCCATAAAAGAAACGGCAAGTTACCTTCTATAACACTCTCTATGGCAGATCATAGGCAAATTCCCTGAACTGGGAAGCGTTCACAGCATATGCTATAGCTATAGGCTGCAGGATGACTAGCTCTTCCTCCAAAAATGAGGTTAACACTGAGTTTTTCACACATTCCTCATAAACAATATTTACATTGGAGCCTCAGGTCCTCTGTTTTATCTGAAGAACAACAGATAGCTGTGGAGTTGCTAACACTTCTGTTAGCAAGGCAGCCTTGTATGTCCAAACACCCTGCATCACAGTACTTAAGTGCTTTCAGCAAAGTCTAAAACCAAGTTTAATTTTAAATGTTTTTCACAGCTCTATACCTAAACCACTTACACATAATAGAATTTCCAAAGCACTGGGGAAACAGAAGGGACCCCCAGCTGCCGAACTGCAAATAGCTGACTTAGGGTGGGATTTCATGTTACAGTGAAATTGGTCTACCTGCACCCTCAAAGGAGGACTCAATTTCCCTTGCTCTCACATGGGCACTCATAATAGTCTGCTGTAAGAAGCTAAAGGAGATAAACCAGGAGAAAATCTCTTTTTGCAGGGTAATTCCTGCCTGTTAACTCCCCTGGCCGGGTTCACAGCTGGCTCAGTGTCAATTCAATAGAGAGGGTAGGAGGAGGCAAATACAGAGCAGAACCATCCTGTAGCCTGCTGCAAGGCAATCAATAGGCTGAGGCAGTATGAACCTGTACCCTCAGCTGCACAAGGAAATGAGTTTCCCTTGTTACTTCTTGGTGTGATCTTCAGTCTACTAAATTTTTTCTTCAGTTTTACAAGAAATTATTCATGGGGTGGAATATAATAAATTCCTCATCAGGTGAACTGTATGTATGGTAAAACATAACAGTTTCAGCAAAAATAAATTCTGGCTTTACCTTAACAGGGCGATAGCCAAGTTCAGTGGCTTTGTGGATTCCTTCCATTACCTTGTGAAAGCCTAAAATACAAAAAGAATGAAAAATAATTTTCCTTGTTTAAAACTAGAATGCAAAAGGAGTTTATTAAGTAGAAGACAAAGAGATGACACATAAAACCAATCTGATTCAGTAGATAGGGCTGCAAGTAGGAAGAGCTGCAAATAAATAGACTTCAATTATATATACACCCCGCCCTCACAACTCCCAAAGACTACCACTGTTACTGTGCTCACGTCACTGAGATCAGTATTTAACTGGTATTTGAGTAATCAACAATACTTGTATGGTTTTTTTGCATCTTTGGATATCCATGTATTATTAGCATAATACATTCTCCACTTCCGGAGCTTTCCCCCTCAACTTTCCTTCTGTTACATTCTTCTTAAAGGAAGTGGAAAGAATTTATGAACTACCTCCAGATGCAATGAAGAAAGAATAATAAATTAATGTTTATTTTATAGTAATGGCTCGTGTCTTTGCTGCAATGGCAGAATCTCACTGTTCTGAATCAGTTAGCAATATTGCTAAGCGAATTTTAAAAGGATTTTTATAAAGTGTATATGGAGTGGAGTGGGTTTAGGAACAAACAAAAGCCCCTCGATTCCCTGTTCAACCCTGGCTACAGATGTAATTGGCTTCCCAAAGCTGTTGATTATCCATTAGTCTGAAGATCACAGGCAGCACTTTACAGGATCATAATTTTATGACTAAACATGGGAAATCAGTGAGCAAAACATGGCAGGGATTAGAGCATTTAGGAAAGAAATTCAGTTGGCCTCTGATCCTCAAAAACAAATGAAAGAGGTCGAAAACTACAGTGACATAAGGAATGAAGTGCCCAGCTTCATCCTACCGTTTGGTGGCCTACACCTTTCAGCTTCTCTCAGACACAAAAAATATATTTGACTCAGGGGAAGTATCTTTGCCCCTACATTTACCTCTTAAAGTTGGAAGAAAAATAAAGCAACAATGCAGTTTTGAAATTCCAAAGTCCTTTAGGAGAGCCTCTTAATTATCTCATTCAAACCACCTCTTCTGTCATCTTTGTGTAAAGTTAAGACCTTTCACAAAGATATCATTTTAGACTTGACATATTATTCCTTCGCTGACACACTCACCAAGTGGTGGAGAACAAAGGTGAATAGTAGCAAGAACAAGACAGCAAACTACCGAGCTCTGAGTGCACAGTGGGTGTGCTCAGCTGTCAGCACCGTGTTCATGAATGTCTCTTCTACCCTGCCAGGTTCTAGACTAAGTTCTGTTCCCATTCTGCACATGAAACTCAGGTGTGAGAGACCAGACACTGCATGAGACTAAGCTCCTTCTTCCAAAGCTACAGTCTTCAATAGCAAAATACTTCACACATGCTAGTAAAAGGGCAAAACGTTCCAGAAGTTTGTGTTGACCACCCCTGTGCTGTTCCTAGTCATATGTTTTTCTGCATAGGTCCATCACCCACCTTTCCCTATCTATTATCTACTGGAGACTCAGAATCTCTAGTGAAGAGATCATACCTTCCTTAGTCTGTAGGTATTTAGCAGAAATAAGCAATAAACCAACAGTATTCTGTGCATACTTAATATTGGATGAGTTTAAAGTCAGGAAAAAAAAAAGGAGAGAGACAAATATTTCACTTAACTGCTCTCTGGCTGGTAAAGACATTATAAAGCGTGGGCACAGGAAAGCAGACGATATAATTGTTTTATAAGCCAGTCCTAATGCTAGTCCTGGCTGCAAAACGAGAGGTGAAGAGCACATAGAAGACAGTGAAGTAACTCTTGCAAGCAACTGTTTGAAGTTACGACTTGTCACCTTTCTCAATCATCACCTACTTGTGCATGTGCCCAGAAAGTTTGCAGCACCCGTGGTAGATCGCATTCCAATTAAGCAAGTTTGCAGGCAGAATGTGGCAACAGACATAACGATACACTGCTGTAAGCACAATCCAGAGCCACGAATGGGATCAAAAGTCTCTGCAACTGCTCAGAAAATCTTACATGTAACCTCAGGATTGCAGAAAGGTGAAACTGAACATAACTAAAAAGGCCAGAAGCAACCACTGGCAAGCAACAGATCAAAAACTCCACATGTTTGAAACCTCTCATGCTTGGGCTCAGCTCACTGCAGAGGTATTGAACAGGATTACATCTTGCAATGCATCTAACTCAGTGACCTTCCCAGGTCTGCCTCTTACCTCCTGCCATGCTAGCACATGAGTGTGGTTTAGAAAAACTCTCAAAAATCTCTACAAGCAAACAAAAAATTCAGCTGTTCTGAATAACAACTATGAACTTACTTCCATTAAAATATTTTTGGGGCAAGGTGATTATTTGAAACAAAAACTTGTTACAGTAAAAAATTAAAAATCTGTTATTGCATTTCATATTTTCATGTTAATGCTTTCTGTTTTTTCTCTATAAAAAGCTGTTAGTTCGCTTGTATTGCCATGCTTATTGAAACATCCCTTCTGAATCAAAGTCTTTGTGTGGCAATAGAACAACAAGAATAAAATCAAAACATTTCAAAATATTAGAGCAGAAATGAATACTAGATGTCATTGTGTTGGGAAACATTGTCAAGTTGCAGAAGTTTGCTAAGTTTTTGTTCGATATTTCAAAATGACAACCTTTCTCCTCTTCTGCCCAGTGAAACATTTAAATATTTTTGTCATATTAGATTTCTTCTGAAATCAAAACTTTAGCCAACTTTGAAGGACAGAGAACCTTAGACCCATCCAGAACAATCCTATGTGGAACAACACCTCCCACCACTTAATCCTTAAAACAAGAAAGACTTCAGGCCAACGTTTAAGGATACAACTACAGTACAATATGATCTCATTTTCCTTGTACTGAACAAAAAAAGAAGGCACGGTCTATGAAACATGTTAGACTGGCTACCTGGAAGCAAGCACTTTTCATTTGTTTATTCCTTAGAATGTGGTAGATGGGAAGAAATAGAAACATTATGGTCCTCTAGCAGGCTTTCAGACATCAGTGAAATCTCTGGTGATCTCAGTCATTTCCTCTATCCCAACTATTTGGAAGTAAGAGCAGATGTAATGCAGGGCACTTGCACCAAAGATACATATTTTCAATGTTTTCTTAAAAGCCTAGAATGACTTTCCAGTGGAGTGGAAAAATTGATTCCAATTTTCTTGAGCTCCTGATAAGCTCCATAATCAGATGACACCTTTACTTTCCAGAGAAGTTACCAGCCTGTAGGAGTCCAAGACCAGGAATCCCTCTCACCTTAACAGAGCTATATCTTGTTGGCTCTGGAACTGCCACAGGAGACAGGGTAGCAGAGTAGGACAGGCACTTTATTCTCTGCTCATTCCATACTTGGAAATCCCCTATTAAATAAAAACCCTCAATAAAAACAAAACCGAAAACAACAATAACAAAAAAAAGGCAAAACAAAAAAACCCACAACAAACCAAACAATAAAAAAGTATTTTTACATCATTTCAGCCCTTAACCCTAACAAAAGAAAAGAAAAAAACCCCATTACTCAGTGTTACTATTTTTACCTGATCTCCACTTCCAAAAAAAAAGTATGATTTGGAGACTTTATTCTCCTCTTTAAAAGTATTGACTAATAGAAACTTCCCTGTTCATTCTCTATGCTGTTCAGTTGAACAATTTCTCTCTTTGTTGTTAAAGATCCTTTTTTATTTAAAGGAGAAAGAGGGGAAGAGAACATTTATACAAATAAAAATTACCCACATCCCCTAATAACTTTCAGTTTACTTTATAACCAGCACATTCCTAACAGCTTCCAATCAGATATGAAGAGCTGTGGCCTTATAATTCAGGAGCTGGAGGCTCAGGTTTGCCCCTTCAGTAGCAAAAGAAGGGCTTGTTTCTAATGAATGTCACAAACTAGGTAATATTCAAATGCAGAGAGCAGAAGGAAAGAGCATAGTCAACACCTGCTTGTGATTAGATACTCCCAGATACCGCTCTGGGAGCCAATTCTGCCTTGAAACAACCAGATTAATGCAACAGCTTATGCTGGAAGGGTAATGCTCCAGTCAGATTTACAACAGGAACAGATTTCTGCATCATGATATAGAAACCTGAAGTAGTGCTCCTAGAGAGAGCCTTTCTGCGCCTGCCAGCAGAACTTTGATTTGATAGCAGTGATTCAAATGCTGACATTACTTCTCACTGCATTCCAGGTTTGCTACATCCCTGCATCTATCTTAGGCTGTTGCACCATCTGGTGGCTACTTAGAGGTTTTGCCTGAATTAGTTCACAGATCGCCGAAGTTACATTACGGGACTGAAAGAGAATGACAGAAGATCCTACCAGTTTTAGTTTGGAAGAAAGCCCAACCATGAAGCTGAACTCCATGATGAGCTTTAGGATTCATTTAAGCAAGAATCTGTAAGACTGGGCAAATCCAGTCTTTTTGAAAATCCAGTCTTTTTGAAACTTCGTGTGGAATTCCTTGCTCAGTTGGAGAGAAGTTACAAAGCTAGCAGCCCTCCTCAGATTACCTCAGGCATGGTTTATGTTTATCCCTATTAAAAAATAGTGGAGATAGGGAACATAACTAACCACAAGTGAGACCACTGTTAGCACACCCAAATATAACTTCCAGAACAGGCCACTATTCGTGACAAGAAGTTCAGTTCTTGTGGCATCTTAGTCCCCGGCTGCTATAGGAGGAACATCTGGTTTTGTGAACAGTATAAAAGAAGGGCAGCACACAAGACCAACACAAGATTTGGAGAGTCCTCTTGAGATCTATGACTAACCAGTCACAGTGCCAGCTACTACTGGCAGTTGTAGTCACAGTCCCACTGACTCTGGTGAGTTGAACATCTACTTCACCAGCTCCAACTGAAGGGGCTCTACCTGCCTAAGCATTATAGAAAGAAGGAAAAGAGTCACTATTGAGTAAGCTACTACAGACTGCTTTTCCTAGCCCCAGAAGGATAGCAATTCACTCCCCTCCTGATGTAACTGAGTGTGAAAGATACACCAGACAACTCAGAACATTCTTGCAGGTATTAACACAGTTGTCTTAGAGGATAAGTTTGTACCTTTCCTTCGGACAATGAACTCAAATTTAGCTGGGACCAAAGTATCCAGGCTAATGTTAATGGCATTCAGTCCTGCCTCCTTCAGTCGGGGCAGAAGTCTGGTTAAGTTGATCCCATTAGTTGTGACAGCAATGGTTTTCAGCCCTTCTAGCTTGTACAGTTGACCTAGGAAATAAAAAGTAAAATGAGCACTTTAAAAGAAGTAATTCAACTGTAAGTTACACCAAAACCCCGAAAGATTTGTGAAACAAAAAAGTGTCACTGAAGGTGTGAGGAAAACATGGACACTTCGGTGTTTCAGCCTCCTTCCAGCCATATTGGTTGAAGACAACCATTTTCACACAAATCCATTTCAAAATGTATGAGAGCAGTTTATTGCACGTGAAACGGGTGATGAAGTCCTGTTTTATCAAAATGCACACTAATTTTGTTCTCCATTTCTTAAATAGTTACTTTATTTTTGAAGTAAGGCCTTTGATTTTATGTACCTTCTTTTCCTCGTCTAGCTTTGCAAAATCAATTTTACATTCTGCAATGATAATAAGCAGCAAGCCATCCCTTTCGCACCTGACACCTGAAGTAGCTGTGTTTCTTTAGCAACATTTATTCTACAATGCTTTACCAAAACCCAGTTCTAACCTAGGGATAGCTGCCAGGATTAGTGACTTTAAACTTCTGAAAGAAATACCACATGTAGTCCTAACGAAACAGAAAAAGGTCAACATATTAGACTATTACAGAGCATCCAAGGCAAACAACATCCAAGGGACAAAACACTTGCACTTGACAGCTGAAATATTTCCATTACCCCAGCCAACTGGAGGGCACTTACGCAAGATACTAAAAAATAGCTAACAAAAGAAAACAGCATAAGAAACAGTTAATATCATGAGACTAAAATTTAGAAAATAGCTGCCTTCTCATAAGCCAAATGCAGAAATCCTCAGCACACCAGATCTCCAGAGGGCAGGCTTTCAAACCTCCAGTTATCAGTACAATAACAAATAGGAAAAACAACTTGCAGAAGCAGAGCCACAGTAAAGTACTTTTTCCTCGCTTCCCCTCTCACAGCCTCCACCCCAATTATTTAATAAATATTTGAAGAATCCTTACTATTGAGGCAGCTGTAATTACAGCACAAATATTTCATAGTTCCTTCTTTCCTCACTATTTCGATTCTATTTGTTCATGTTGATAAGGGCTTTACTTCTGCTTTATCTCATTTCCCAGCTATTCTCAAAATATTAACTCTAAGCTGGGCCCAGAGCTCTGGAATGGGACAAGCCAGGTCGAAGCAAAAATGCTGAAGCTTACAGCAGCAGCAGCATTTTGCAACATGATTAAGAGCTCCATAAAGACATTTGCAAACTGAGGTTATAAGGAAAGGAGCAATCTTTACCAAGAAATACTTTTTTCTGGCATTCACCTCTCAAAATCCTCCCAAATGACCAAAAATAACCGCTTCCTAGAGGATAAGTGCTACTGGCCTAATTTTGCCACAGATTAGCTACTAGCTACCCCTAGTAGCCTAGTCTTTGTGAGAGCATAGTATACATACTGCAGCCAAAGGATAGTGCAGGAACATCACTACTTTTGTTTATAGTCTCAGAATGCACAGAGTGCTCAACCTCAGAACAACAGAGAAAAAAAGAGTTGGTACCATACAGGCTTCATTGCTAGAAATGTAAAATGCAAAAAGGTATTGAATAAAACTAACATCATGCTGCAGCCTAAATGGAGAAATTAAAGACAGTAGCACCAGCTGTTATCCACACATCTTTCTCCTCATCAGACAAGATACAGGATGAGGCATTGGAAATACACATGGAACCACCTGTAGTAACAAACTGGACAGAAGTCAACTGTGAGAAATTAGAGATGACGGCTTAATGCTAACACCAACAAGTTAAAAAGGACCAGTTAGTACACTTTACCAAGTGTATTGTTCACAGTGTCTTGGTTTCTCGGCTTGTTGACCCCTAAATTCAATAGGGATTAAAGAGACTTCATAACTTTGTAATTCTTCTTGTATCTGTATTAAATCTGTTTGCTGACCTTTGGTCACTGCTTTAGCACCAATCAGCACAAGCAAAAGCAACTGATATAAACTAAGAAGTAGAAAAGGAAAGAGAACAGTTGCTATAATTCCATAGCATGAAACTACAAGATTGTATGTCAAGCTCAAGCCATAAAATAAACCCTTTTACATTTACTTCTCCATTTAGGATCAGGAGCATCTTCTTAAATAGACAAGTTTTTTACATACTCTCCTCCTCCTTAATTGCACCTCTGATTGAGTCTCAAAAAGGTATGTATATCTCTTAATACATGAACTAAAAAGTCTACCCTATACCACTTCACTCTTGAAATGTGTATGTTGCTATAAGAAGTCATCCAGTCAACCCTCCTCCACCCCGAGGAAAATTATTTTTTTCAGTGGAGCTGTGTACCTCTCAGACTATTAATAATAAACAGCTATCACACAGTTTATATCCAGTGCTTATTTATACTTTTGAGTATCCCAAAGGAGATGGATTCTACATTCCACAATCAGGAAAGTCTCAAACATATGTTTTCAGCAGTCCCCAGGACATAATTTAGCTTTCAGTAAGTGTTAGTTGTGGACTCATAGTTGATATATGTGCATGTATTAAAAGATTTTAAATAATCTAAAGAACTGTAGTAGGTTGCTGAACACCTTGGTCTCCTCATGGCTAGGCTTCGTGAACAAATATTTGGTCTCCTACAATAGCTTCAAATCACATTTGTTCATTGGAACAACAAAAAAACCTTGAATTTGAGTATTTGAAAAATTTATTAATAGTAATCCAGTATTAATATTTTTGAGCTTTACTGATATTTCACAGACGATTTATAGTTGAGAGAAAGGTTTGCTGAAAACAAACCTAACTTAAATCTCAACCCCATTCAGCACCTGAGATATGAGATATTGTAGACAGCTTCTATAAACCACCTAGAAAACAAGATTAACTCTATCCCAGACCAAAGCAGTACCATGTGCCAAGATGGCTTCAATAAAGGTGCTCTACTCAAATTCTGCAGAAGACATTTTTGGGCTGTTTTTTCCTTCAATGACTTTTCCCATACTTGTTACATTGACCTATTTAGTTTTGGGACTTTTATCTGGATCCCAAACTTGGGCACCATAAAGTAACACCAAAGGCTGAGAAGTCAGAAAGTGTTTATAGACTTAATTTGCCAACTTTCAATAAAGTCTTAAAAAAAAACCAGCCAGGCTCATACAAACCCATGACAGAATGAACTAATGCAATGGGACAATCATCTTAACATACATTACCTTCACCCCAAAACTTTTGTACTCCATTTAAGTGATCACTATGAATCCGTCAAAGTTCAGCTGAGAACTGTAACAGAGGCAGAATAACGAAAACTCATTGGTTCAAAAAGATCCATCTCCCTCTTTTGGGCACAGAAATCAACCTTTGAGAATTCTATCTTTGGAGTAAAACAAAATAAAACAAAAAGATTTCTATCCTTCCAATTCTAATACTTCAGAATTGCAGCAATGCAATAATTATTTTGCAGTGACCTGACTACTCCACTTAGATCATCAACATCAGAGTAGCTGTGTTGAGTATAAAAAGTCACTAGCTAACACTGATAAATAAAAAAAAGATGCATACACTAGGAAAGAAAGTTCTACACTGAGCTGATGACATTGTTGATTTCAAATAATTTTCATGCCAATACTATATGCTGAACTGTAAAGCTTTATTATATTTTAAATTGCAACCTATTTTATAAATCTGGCTCCCTTTATAGGAGCAAATAATTATACCTATTATCATTAGAAATGGGGAATGACTTCTTGAAAGAAACACACCTCTCAAAAGGAACATAGCTCTCAATGCTATATAAAAAATAACCTATCATGTGAGGGCAAAATGTCCTAGACAATGATATTCCAGAGTTGTAAAAATATTAAGTTAGTGCAGCTCCATGACCCCTCACAATCAAGGTTCAAGAAGACCCAAGCCAGTTCATTCCAGCCATACCTTTTCCAGCTATAAACAGGTCAGTTTTACATACTACACTGCTTTGCTGCTTCCTTTAGAAAAGACCATAACGGTGTTCCAAATCCTGAACAAAAAAGAGCAGAGGCAGACACCAACTGTTTTCTGCATCAAAACTCACTGTATTGCTAGGCAATTTCTCTTCTTTCAAGACCTTCATCTTCCATTTTAACCCTCTCTTCAGTACTTATAAGAGTATACCTGCAGAAACAGACTAGTTCAGTTGTGTACAATACACCAAAGTGCAGCCACCTACATAGCCTTAATCTAATACATTGACACCATATGAAGTTATTCCAATTTTTTTAACATAGGAGACTCTGGAAAGAGCAAAAAAGCACCTGGCTCGAGAAAAAAACCAGGCACAGTCAGCCAACACAATACCAATCAAAGGAGATAGACTTGTAAAAATTACCCAGTAATTTACTTTCCATTGAAGTAATAGTCTTCATCAATAGCTGTAAAAACATAGGCATTTCCACCATTCCTTATTACACACACAAGTGACATCTGTTATCAAGGTAACAAAACAAACCCACAAATAACAACCCACCTCAAAATCAAAAGGACAGCTTCTTTTGTTTGTAAGAACATCTCAATTGTTCCTCCCCAGTGAGGACCTGGTCACATCAATTCTTGATTTTTCACCCTAAGGCTGCATTATTGCAAGCTAGTCTGATAGATGTTGAATATGAAGACAACGCTAAGTTCAGTGGTTGCAATAAAAAGAGAGAGAAATTCCATTCAAGCAGCAAAGCAGAACTGGAAGTTTTCTGAAAGGAACTATCTTGTATTGTTGGGAAAAAGTACCATCATTAAATAGTTGTTCTTCAAGTTGCTGGACTGTGTTAGTAGATAGCTGTAAGTGTAATTCTTGGATCAATATGCACGAAGTCACTCTGAAACACACTGTATTGATTTGGAACTCACCCACAATATCAACCACATCAGGACGGATGAGTGGCTCTCCACCTGTCAGGCGGATCTTCTCTACACCTTCTTTCACAAACAGTCTGGCTAGGGTGATTATCTCCTGAGCAGTTAGTAGCTCTGATTTAGGAGTCAGCTTAACACCTTCCTCGGGCATACAGTACTGACCTGAAACAAAAATTAGCGAAATACACAGGAGAAAAAAATAACCAGCAACAATTAATCTAATATTGATGGGCAAAATGCACCAAGTGCTGCTGTCTTTAATGGATGTCAAATGACACCAATTTTGCAAAACTTTACAATCTCCTAACACTTTCCTGGTTTCCCTCAGAAGAAAACCCAAGACTCATTTATGTGTCTCAAAACTACAGTGGATCCACTTTGAAGGAAAAGCTAATCTTATTTCTATCTAACCTGCATTCAAACTGATGCCTTAAGCCCCTAATGGTTTTTTTATTTTTCTAATATTTGTAAGATTGGTAAGAATTGTAGGTTTTAAAAAGCAGAAACCCCTTTGTCCCCTTGTTCCTTTCCCTTGTTTACACATTCCCTAACCCTTTTACCCCATTCTATGCCTTCTATATCAAACCTACCCCTGAATTCAGTAGCAGTGTTTAGTCTTTTGTCAAGGCAAAGGCCTAGACTGTTTGGAGAACAGCGTATCAGGGCCTAAACCACAGAGTACGGTCAAAAATTAGGTAATCATGTACCCTTTGTACTCTGATGAAGTTGAAGATGATGAAGTAAGTGGTCCCAAAAAGACCCCAGACCCAATTCTCAGGGGGAGGGCCCGGGGCAGGACCAGAGGAAGGGCCAAAGGGTGGACACATCTGGGATTGGATGGATAATGTTATAAAATGTAACCTCTCGGGCATGGCCTGCGCGCGCGTCTATATCACCTATTGCCTTGGCAAATAAACCCTTTCTTATCTCACCCCTAATTAACTGCTCCGGAGATTTTTTTCAGCACCAAAATACACAGGCAACAAAACACAGACACCAAATTCAACTGGCAAGCACTGGGACATTGCTACAAACTGCAGATGCAGTTGTGGGAACGCCTAGGTATGAGCTCTCCTACTTACTACACACTTGAGGTATAGCAAACAAGCATCATTATCCCAACCACACCAAGTCTGACAAAAGACCTGTCACTTCCACTTGTCACTGGAAGATCCCTAGGCTTGCTCCTGGTTCCTCATCCCACCAGCAGCTCAGGTCCAAATTAGCCTATCTGTCCTTTTCTATTACTTTGTGAAGACAAAAAACAGCACAAGGCCAACACAGCAATAACACCCTAACTCAAGTCTTGGCCTTTGCATAATATGGGTATAAGAGGTTTGTTCACAGAACCCAGCAGACACTCACACCTGAGGTTGCATTTCTCGGTCAAAGAAATTCGCAAGTAATTGTGCTGACGCCCAAAGCTGTCTGTCAAAAAAGGAGAGAAGGGGGCAGCATGTTCCAGTAGAAAGCGTCCTCTTCCTGGGCTTTGCAACTCCTGTAACAAAAACAAGCCAGTGTTAAATATTTGAACAGTGACCCTGTCAACTTGCTGTATAAATATTAACTTTGAGCTGAACTGATAATTATTATTCCATTTTTCCCCATAGGGACAGCTGCACAAGAAAAAACCCATGACTTGTCTTTATGATCAAAACTGACCATTTATTGATTAACTTTGTCACTACTTAATTTCATGGAACTGTTTACAATCTTCCCTGTGCATTTTAAGATACAGCCTCTTTGCCACAGATGCTTCAGGTTTTTTGTCCATAATAGGAGGTTGTTTGGTTTTTTTTCAGTTGCCTGTCTCTTTACTTTCCAGAATCAATGATCCAGGACCACCCTATCTCACTATAACCCCTGGGGTAAATGAAACCATGTAAAAGGGGTCCTCCCTGCACTTCAGCACAAGAGAACTATTAGTCGATGAAACACTGCCATCTCTGCTTGTGTTCCTACCAACTTTCATGTGCAAGACATAACTGAAATACTTCTATGTACAATTATGTTTCACGATGTCTTGTTTCCAACAAGGTCTTCCTGTCTAAACCCATATAAAAGAGTACTTCCAAAAAGCTTGTCTCTGTTAAAAGATGATAAATAATACAGGGCATGGTGAAACTGGAAGAGAAATATATGATTCTGAACACCTATTCAACCTGCATAAAATTCAGAATTTTAATAATGTCTTTATTAACTGTCATGAAGTGAATATTAAAAGTGATTTCTATTTACAATCTTAGGGTTTTCTTAAAGAGCAATGTAATATATTCTACAGCAACACAACTTTTAGGAAGTATGAGTATTTGCTTTCTAGAATGAGGGCATAGTAAGGATGTGGACCTGCTGGAGCAAGACCAGATGAAGCCACAAAGATGCTCAGTGGGCTGAAGCACCTCTCCTACAAAAACAAGCTGAGAGAGCTGGGTTTGTTCAGCCTGGGGAATAGAAGGCTCTGGGGAGACATTATAGCACCTTCCAGTATCTAAACAGAGCTACATGAAAGCTGAGAGGGACTTTTTACAAGGGCGTGGAGTGATAGGACACAGGGGAATGGCTTTAAACTGAAAGAGAGCAGCCTTAGATATCAGGAAGAAATTCTTTACTGTGAGGATGGTGAGGCACTGGAACAGGTTCCCCAGAGAAGTTGTGGATGCCCCATTCCTGGAAGTGTTGGATGGGCTTTGAGAAAGCTGTTGTAGTAGAAGGTGTTCTTGCCCGTGGCAGGGTGTTCAAACTGGATGATCTTTAATGTCCCTTCCAACCCAAACCATTCTGTGACTCTACGATCACTTTAGGTATCCAAATAAATATCCTAAATTAGTAGCTGCAAACAAATACAGTTTATACCACATAACTTAAAAACATCAGTACCATCAATGCCAGAAGACTGTTGGTTATAGCAAGGTCTAAACAGAGGGAGTCCCATTGCCTTTAGCCCATGAATTTCAAACTACCATGTTATATCTATTTTTCTACACCTGTAAAGCACAGCTGAAACCACTCTGCTACTTTTGGAAAATATTTTGATACCCTAAGTAAAACACACTAACTGAACCAGCTCTTATCACAGTACTGCAGAAAAGCAAAAGTTTACCATTATACTTTTATCAGCTTGGTTCAGGCACTACATACAAACATCTACAAACAACATAATTCAACCCCTGTCGAGTCTTTTTATCTACTACATCACAGTTAAATTAACATTTTATAGGAGGCCAATTTAATAACTCATGATAGAGGCCAGCTGCCTAACATCACAAAACAAAACAGAGAACACAAAATAATTAAAGGAACCACCTTCACTGGGTCCTTGTTAGTTAACCACATACTGACATCTAATAGCCAGCCAAGAAAACTAGAAGAAAGCTAAACAACTCCTGAACATACAGTGAATTTCATCTCCAGTGAAAAAGCACATAAAAACCCATTTCTGTATACATGGTGTTCACAAAGTGTGTGTGTGTGTGGGAATCAGCTGCAGAATTGTGCCTCAAGCTGAAATCATGCTAATTTGTCTTGATAGGCTGCAGCAGGCAAAGGATTAAATAAAGTTTTGACATAAACTTAAGATGTAGAATGAGGAACCAGACAAATGGGTATTTAAACTGCTCACCTAAGCAAAAGTCATGACGTACATCTAGTGAAAAACAGACCTGTGAAATCCCCAGACATACTAAAATCAGCATGTATGGGATAATGCCAAGGGACTGGGCAGAAACACACAGGGCTGGAACATCAGCTCCCTGGCTCCGATCACTACTAGTAACTATAGGAGTTAACCCTGCACAGTACTGTGACACAGCCCTTGCAAGAAGTCTAGAAAAGGTCAACTAAAATAAACCCAGGTATGGTTCCTCAAAACATTTTATTCTGAAAACATTTTTAAGAAAGATTTGTGGTGGGTGGAAGGCAGAGAGACCCTCAGTGACCAAATCAGCCAGACAGCAAAGGTTATCTGGGGAGAGACCCAACTTCAGCCATCAGCAGCTGCAACAATTTTGTTTCCAGCTGTGCTAACACTACAGGAGCAGTTGTTCTTGGCAGCGCAATTTTTTCACTAACTTTTAAATAATCCTCTACAATTCTTGATGCAAACAGCTTTGAGGTAAAATAAGAAGATCTCTAAAAACATCCATGGCAGTGGGGGGGGGGGCTAGAGAAGATAAAGGAGATAGAAAGTGGCTATTTCAAACCCCAGAAAGCATCTGTTTACCCGTGCTAAAACTGCAGAACAAGTTTCCACGCAATGGCTTTTCTGCCAGAAGGAAGCAATCCCTTTCAGTTTCAGAAGCAGTGGCCACAACAGCACAGCGGTATGGGGCGCAAGGCCAGCCCTCCCCAGACCTGGCCTTCCCTCACTGCAGCACCAAATGGGTCAGTGGCAATCCCTCTGCAGCCACACACTGCTCACCCTTACATGTGTTCTTTCCTCTCTTCCTTCTTCAGAAAGTCAAAAAACCCCCAAGTTGAAAATCCCTTGCTTTGACAGAAATGCTGGCTCTCTTGCACTTACTGTGAGGGTTTCTCAGAATACAAGCAGGGTTAAGTCAAAGAGCCCAGGTAAATATCCAGACTTCATTTCTTCTTCTTCCCCAGTTAGAAAACTCGTCCCTGAACAGATTAAATCTAAAGATATTTTAAATCTGTCAAACTCAGAAAAACCACAACATGAAAGTATTTTTCTCTTAAAAACTGTGCTGCTTTCTGGCCTCGTTGGATTTCTGACATTCTCCTTCCTACTATTTTGGAAAGGTGTTCACATTTGAGAGGGAAAGCACTACCATGCTTATTAAGATTATCTGTGCCCTTTTTGTGGGAGCTCTCCTCTCCTGTTTCTTTCTCAATAACTCTTGTTTGCATCTTTTTCAGGATCCTTACCCACTCCACCTGAAGACAGATTAGTATGAACCTCCTGTCTCCTGGTTTCAGAGTGTGCATTACAGGGAGAGAAAGAAATGAAAAGTTGTCCTTCCCGACAGAAAGGTGGCAAGAGAGGGAGACCCAATGCTTGTATATAATGGAAGCCAAAACTGCATACTTGCAAGGACACTAAGATGCTTAAAACAATTTCCTGTTTTCAGAAGGAGCCACCACTGGAGTGGGATGCAGGAGACTGTTCTGTTCCTGGTCTGCCATCCACCCGCATGGCTGTTACAGGCAAAGAAATAACAGGAATAACACTGCCCTTCATTAATTACTCTAAAGTGAACTGTTAAGAAGCAGCATTAAAAGAACAGGCACTCAGCAGGCAGTTGGTGTCAATAAACTTTAAAGTTTCTATTGGAAATAACTTTTGCACTCTGCTGCAACGTAGTGGGTTTTAGAACAGGGAAAAGAAAAACGCTTTCAAAGCTACTAGAACTTCTTTCCATCAGCTTCTTGTTGTGTACAGAGATGGGCTTGTCTGGAAGGGAAGAATGACTGGAGAAGGAATTTTTAAGCTGTTATTTCAGTGTCTGTCCAGTTTGAAGTCAGCACAGAGGAATTAGGAGACACCCATGAGGAATTCAGTAGCACTAACTTGAGCTCCAGCAGAGGCGGATCCTGTATTACCAAAACTGCACCCAGCACTGACTCATATTTTTATCTATACCACAGAAAAGGCCAAATATCATAGATATAAACTCAGCTGCCTTCCTGGGAACTCAGGGCAAGGATGAAACATTCTCTCAGGTTGTTGTGTAAATATGATTTTCTGAAGGGAAAGAACTGGTTGAGGTTGAACCTAATCACTCGCAGCCTGTGTGAGAGCCATTGGAGCAGGAAGAAAGCAAAAGCTGCCTGCTACAGTTCTCAGGTTACAGGAAAAGGGTTATTCAGTTCCCTGAAATAGGAAAAGGCGGATAGGGTATTTTAACATATCAGTGCCCAACCACATAACTTTCTCACTCAAAAGGGATGGCTATAACCCACAAGTCTCCACTCCCCTCTCTCCATAGTCAACAGGAGACACTTCTGCACATGGAGCAGTATGACCTGTCACACAGGTGACAGGTGTGCTTTATCTGATCCATGAAAAAAACAGGTTCTCTCTCTGGGCTGTCAATCACATGTTCTATACCAGTACTGAAAGAATAAGAGCTTACATGACTGCACCTAGCAGCTATATTTTGACAAGCTGTCAACCCTTCAGACCTGCCAATTCACCTGTGATTTCCAGAACTCTTCTAACAATACAGCAAAATTGGAAGCTGTCACCAGAGGTATCAATAACCACCAGGAACACCACAAACTGACAGATACTAGAAAGGCTCATTTAAAAACAAGGGGGCAGAGAACAGAACTTGAGCTGAAGATCAAGTACCGTCCTTGCTCTACTCTTCCACCTTCACTTCATCCCCAGTAATATTTGTGCACTACAAAACAGTAATGCTTGCAAACGCTTCTGCACAGGCCTCAGGGACTACCACAACCTGTGTACTGATGTCACTGTTAGTGTTGCCCCTGGCACCTGCTAGCTCTTTCAGTTCCTGCAATCCTTCTGGGTTTGTGCACCACTGCTGCCACCCCAATGTAGCACCTAAAGCTGCTGCAGCACCATCGTGGACAGAACTCAGCTAAAGCTCTTCTCTTTCATGCCTCACTTTTAGCATCTCAGTCTGTAGGGAAGCAGTGACATAATGTCCTTGGTTCAACCTGAAAATTAGACAACCGCAGAGGCTGAAACGGGTCTAAGTAGGCCAAGTGCCAGAATGAGGTCTAAGCTGAGAATTCCAAGACAAATGTTTGTCTGAGGGCTCAGCAGCTGCTGCCCAACAGCTGACCCCAAACAGCATGCCACAGTTGTGAGTACTGGCACAGCGAGTACTGCCCAGGGACTGCGACCAGCTACCCGCAAAATGGAGTGTCAGCACACAGAGAGCTTCAGTCATGACTGGCCGACAATAAGGGCCATATGAGGACTTTCTGGGCAAGCTGGGCTTTCCACTTCATCCTGGTAGTGAAGGTTTCATTGTGGCCACAAAAAATTTCAGGTGGTTGTGTTTGGATTACAGGATGTACATAAGCAGACGGAGTGAATGGAAGTGACCTTTACTGGACATGATACATCTAGAGCAGGATTTTTAAAAAAATACGTGTCATTGCTCCCAAGCCTCACTATCTTAAGAGTCCTCTCATCTTCCTCCTTTGTTTCAAAAAGCTGGAGTTTTTGCAAGTAAACTTCCAGTTTACAATAAAATAAAAAGTAAGAAAATAAATAGAAATTACTTTTTCTAGCGTACTGGAAAATACAGTTTTGTAGTAGAAATAGGTCATCCTACATACTTATTTTAATTAAAAAATATAATTTGGACACATATCATCAGGCATACAAGATGACAGGGTGGCATCCAACTAACTTTGTTAACTGCGAATTAGTAGAAACAAAAAAACCCCAAACCACGCTTGTACACAACCAAGCAACTGTGAAAATGCTGCTTTCAGAGTGCCTGTTGCTACCTGCCCTTTTCTAGTCTTAGAAAATGAAACTGCACTCTGTGTATATCTGAGACTGACAACTGTATCTTAAATACTAAGATACAAACAAATTGTTTACCACACAATACCAGTACAGCCACTGTACTGGTGGCTGTACTCCACAGTTTAGAACCTAAACTAAAGACTTACAGTGGATGGCCTTGGGCACAGCCTTTACGCCGTTTCCTGAAGCTCCTGAGTTATAGAGTTTTTCCTTCCACAGCTGGAATGACCATTTTAAAAGGGGCTCTTCTCCCCTTTGCACCCATCCCGCCTCCAAAATCTCATGAAACTAAACAGAACCCATGAATACTTTCAGCTCTAGCACAGAAGACAGTCAAGCAGTATTCACAATTATTTTGAATGTTTAATCATCCTGTCATTTGAAAGCACATTTCACTGTCTCCTATGGCTGCAATGCCAATTGCTCCTCTCTACAGATGAATCCCAGGAGAGACTGGGAACAGAAAGGAGCAATGAGTATATTATCACTGTATAGTTACTAAGTTTTCAGTGTCTTTGTTTTTGCTTCTCAGACCCTGCAGGGTATGAGCCACTAGTGCCCTGCCACACCTCTCACAGTTACGGTGACACAAACCCATATCACCCATTCTGTTCTTCCAGCCACTGTGGCTTTTGTCCCCTAAGGAAGTAGGGCTTTCAGAGATGGATGCTGTAACCAAGCTCTCTCAAAAGTATTCCTGAATGATTGTTAGAGCTACCGGATCTATAGGAAGTAGTGAAAACTATTTCTGATCAGAATTTATAAAAATGTTCATGGCTTAGGAAGAACAAACCAACCAACCAAACTCAATAACCTTTCCAGATTTCTGACTCAAGTAAGCATTCAATATAGCAATGCATGAATACATTTGGTTTCCTGTAAATAAGTAAGTGGCAGTGAATGCATTCAATTCTGGCGACACAGAGTCTGTCACTAGTAGCTTTAGCTTGTTTTCTGCTTGTTAAAGCCATCCATGCAATCACAAGTAACTCAATAAATCATGTCCCAGCTGGGCTTACTCTGCGTGCCATGCCCTATTTCTGCTAGTCACAGAACCTTTGCGTGCAGCTTTTTCTCCTGCATTTGGACACCAAGAGACCGAATTCACCTGGGGGACCGAGAGTTTAACCGGCAGAAGCTGTATCTGGGCAACACCTGCGTTGATTTCGCGCCAGGACCGGAACAAACAGGACCAGCGCGAGCTCGTGTGACCACGGGAGCACAACCACCGAAAGCTGCCAAACCACTTGGTTTTTGATCTGAGGTGACCAAACTCCGTTGTGTAATCTCTCCCTTGACTGGGCAGGAGCACAGAACCAGCTCGGACCATGAGACTGGGTGTCCCACGTACTTCCAAAGTGAGGGTGACATTTCAGCAAAAGAAGGGCACAGAATTATGTATTGCTACACGTCTTGTTGACTCTTCCCTCCCCCCCTATACATAACCAGCTCATGTTCGTCGCACAAGCCACCGGGCAGCCCGGGACACGTTGCAAAATTTTACGGACAGGTTGCACTTCCACGGAACGCGCGGGCACACCCCGCCCGCGGTGCCCAAGCCCCCCGCTCACCCCGGCGGGCGCAGCCACGGTTACCACAAGTGCCCCACCACGAACTACGTCTTCTTAAGGACAAGGCAGCGGCCCGGGACGCCAAATCCCAAAGGCGACCTGCGGTGGCGCGGCACGGCACAGCACGGCTCGGCTCCCACAAGCGCCCCCCGCCCGCCGGTATCCCGGCCCCAAACCCGCATTCCCGCCGGCCGCGCCCCCCTCACCTGCGCGGCGGCCGCGGGAGCCCTGGCGCGCGCCCCGGTGCTGCAGGCGCGGCGCGCGGCCGCCCCGCGCGCCCCCCGCACGAGCCGCCCCCACAAGGCGGCGGCCGCCATGCGGCTCCTCGGCACCGGCGCGCGGGGGGTCCGCGGCCGACAGCCCCGCGCGAGCCGTCACGCGGAGGGGGCGGGGAGGGAGAGCCCAATCAGGGAGGTGCCGGTGCCGCGCTGCACGCCGGGAGCTGTAGTCCGCCTCCCTCGGCCCCAGCCGCGCGTGGGGTCCTGCGGGTCCCGCGCCACCCGCGTGTCCTCCCGGGGCAGCGGCCACGGGCAGTTCACACAGTCACAGAGTATGTTCAGGTGGAAGAGACCCACAAGGATCATCGAGTCCAACCCTTGGCCCTTGCACAGGGCCACCCCCAAGAGTCACACCACATGCTCGAGGGTGTCGTCCGAACGGTTCTTGAACTCTGTCAGGCTTGGTGCTGTGACTACTTCCCTGGGAAACCTGTTCCAGCATCCAGCCACCCTCTGGGTGAAGAACTGTTACTGTAAATCGGCGAATAAGTAACCCTTAAAACTCAATTTGTGAGCATTAGCGGGCAGGCATTCCTTTATTATCAGCAGTGGACACACAGGAGGACAACTCCTCTAATCATGTGGGTGCCCCGTTCTTGGCTCAGTGTAGCTACTGTTTACTTACAATTTTACATATTCAGTAAATGTCTTACATATTCACTATTTCTCTTATAAATTTCATACATATGTTATTTAGGTCTAAGAATTTCTTTAGAAGTCCTTATTTGGTCAGTAGGGGTCTTCTGGTGGTCTCTGGTGGTTATTTGGAGCTTAAACTTTACTTGAACTTGTCCATTGAGCAGCGTATTTACAGCTGGTTATAAAGTGCCTTTGTTCAGCATCTCTTATCCAAAACCTGGATACCTATGTTACCACTACTTTAACTAAAGCATTCATAAACTTGCTTATTCCACAACTACCTTAGCAGAAACTTACATTGTGAAGGCTGGTGCAAAATTACTGAACCATGGAGAATTATTGCTCTCAGAACCTTTTTCTAATATCCAACCTAAACCTCCCCTGACACAGCTTCAGGGGAGCTGTCACTGTGTCCTGTCACTGGTCACCACAGAGAAGAGATCAATGTCTGCCCTCCTCTTCCCCTCACTAGAAAGTTGCAGACTGTGATGAGGTCTCCCCTCAGTCTCCTCTTCTCTGGGCTGAACGGACCAAGTGACCTCAGCCGCTCCTCATATGGCTTCCTCTCAAGGCCCTTCACTGTCTTCATGGCTCTCTTCTGGATGGGAGCCCGGTGACCCTCAGCAGTGAGGGCAAAACCTGCACTGACAGCCTTTGCCATCTGCCTTCCCCTGCCCCCATCTCAGCCCTCCAAAAGCCAGGTGTAGAGCCAAAATCTGCCCACCAGCTGCCTTTGAGGGACATGTGGGCACTGAAGGACACATGGGTGGTGCACGTGTCCCAGCAAGGCCAGCCAGCGGATTGGGAAGCACAGATATCCTCAGCTGGACAACATATCTGGTGGAAATGATAACTTCAGTCCTGCCCCAGTCTCAAGTAAAATCTGTACAACCTTGTCTGAAGATTGGCACAGGAACTAAATGAGGTATAATTGATCTTGTGGGGCATAAGAAAGCAATATTTCAGTTTTTCAGCCTGATATACTTTCCCCTAACTATCAGTGTTTCAGACAAGGGACTCACAATGTAAAGTCCGGTATCCCACTGTCCACCTCCAGGTGAGGGTCTGCAGAGTGTGGTCACCTGCTGCCAAGGTGAACTGTAGACACTTGTTCTGTACACGCTTTACATGTCAAAGGAGGGCTTGGGTGGGATAACAAAATTTTCCTGGAACTCCTTCCCTGAATCATGTCAGATATTCTTCCAAAAGACAGGTGATTCCCTAAATGACTTTATTTGCTCTTGGACTTAGAACTGTGTAGCTGTTAAGAGTAAAACTCACAATTTTGTACACCATGCTGTTCTATGATCACTCTTCCATTTAAACGAATTTTTTTTTCCATTACCATATTGCTGTGCCAGGGCGATTTGCATTTGCAACTAATGGTTGCACATTAACAATTCTCTGCTTAATCCTTTAGTGTTTGACCTGTGCATTCGTTGTTGATGTTTGAGTAACTGGGCCTTACAATTGCTTGTGTCAGCTGCTATTTCCGGGCATTGTTACATGTGCTGGTACAGATTCAATTGTTTAGTCAGGCTATACTTAAATCTTTGCTCTGTAGCAAAACGCTGCCTTCTGTCCAATTCAGTCTTAAGCGTTTAGACTTTAGACTTTATTCAGTCTTTAGGCTGGATACAAACTAACAGTAAAACTTAATGCAACATTGCTACTTCCTCCCTTCCCCCCCACTCCCCTCCCGCCAAAGCTGAAGCTATTTGAAAAGAAATACACTCAAATGACTCATAATGTCACCAAACCTCTATTCTGAAACCATGCCCATCAGTATGATGTCAAGGTAACACATACACAGATCAAAACAGTAGATAAAATACTGGTTTTAATTAAAATTTTTTAAAGATGCAGAAGCAAGCTTGCTGTTGACATTTACAGCAACTTTATGAAGGCTCACTTCTCCCTGTAGAACTGGAATAACTGTAATTAAAGGATTTCCTGGATTTATTTGAAGAGCAAGTGATAATGAAAGTTGAAACACTGAAAGCATTTTAGCTTCATATTAAATGTAGTAATCGTTCAGTGAGCTTTTCAGTTGTGGAAAAGGTTGAATTAGATGTGCAATGAATAAAGATGAAAGTTTGTAACAAACTCAGAAAGAGAAAAAAATTATTATTTGCTTCATCAGCATTAAAAAAAAAATCTTCAGTAATATTCTACAGGAAATGTTCTTACCTACAGTGAAGAGTCTGGCTCTGTAGTTCTATTGTTATTTACTTTTCTTAAAGACTATGTTAATCTTAACTTACATCTTTAGTCTAATTGAATACGGTGGGGCTAAGCATATTTGGAAATGTAAGAAATTAAATGTTTTTGCATACCTGAAAGCTTTCTTCCAGTTTTCTCAGATTGTACAAATATAGGTATGTTTCATTAAAATAGCATAAAATCGGCTTTTATACATCCAAAGGTACACCTCTTACTCTCAGAAGTACCTGCTTCTGTTTGTCAGAAGCACTAAATGAAACCATAAAAAATAGTAATGAAATACTATTGAAATACTAATGAAATACATCTGCATAAGAGATGATTCTGTTTTAACTTTATTGGGATACTGTAATGTCATGTTGTGCCACATCATGTCATGTCATGCCATGTCGGTCATGAAGAGTGTGTTTGTACATCTGAGACAGCAGCTGGAGATTTGATTGCTTTGTTTTTCTTAGCATCTATCTGAAGAACTAGTACTCAGTAAATAATTAAGGCTTTGAGGTTTGCGTGTCTATGCCAAGATGCAGCACAGTATCACGCCCTTGAGTTGTAACCAAAGTTACACGTGACATTCTACCACAGCAAAACAATACCTATCTGCTTCTAGCTTCAGAGACCACCGTCACTCTAGTGAGGCTAAAGACATTTAATCAAAGCAATTTTAGGATCCACAGAAACTCTTGCCAGTGATGTTTCAGTTGTCTTCTAGACATAATGGAGACATTCACTTGTGTTTGGCACAGGATACTTCTTTAGCCCAAATTCCAAAGAAAGAAATTTCCTGCCCTTCCTGCTGCTGCCTTCCCTTTTGACTTACGGGGGCCCTAGATTAGCCATGTCTTATTTATCTGCTTATTTGTTTCAAGATTTTGCTGAATTCACATTTAAAGCCTTAGAGGTCTCATTCAGCACTTGTACACATCCAGGGATTAACTAACTTCCCCCTAAGAGACTCTACACTGTGTCATTTGTAGAGGTCTGTGTGCCTGCCAAGGAGTGTTACATCCACATGGGCAACTGAAGGGCAGAGTCCAGTCCATGTCCCCGGGGGCCTATGCCAAAACAATATAAACATGCAGAGTATTGGACTACTTCCAGTGCTATTCATGTTTCACATAAACACTGAATAAAGCTTTAGAGATATGTTAGTAATAAAATAATAATAACTTAAAAGTCTCAAGAGAGAGCTCAGCACGTGAGCTGGATGCATCTGCCACAATGAATCAGATTGCCTCTTTGTCCAAACTAGGCATCGATTAAAAGTTACTCAACACCTTTCTGAAACGTTGGGCTACATGCCTGAGCAAAAACCGGGGCAAAGTGGAGGACCTGATCCTGTCCTCACATGGAGCTGGAACACAGTCAGGACTCGTGTTGAGACTACTGTTAGGAAAGACTGCATGAGTGCAAGCCAAGGGAAAGCCTCTGAGTCCAGCTTCCTGCCAGCTTCCTTCACTGAGCATGAAATAACAGAATTTACAAGACATGTTCACTGTTTTGTCTATTTCTAGCAAGAGCAGAACATCATCCCTCTTCACAATTGTTACTAGTGAACAACATAGGCGCTCCTTGAAAGAAACCATCACAAGGATGGAGATTCACTGTCAAACTTCAGGGCATAAATGGGATACGAACGACTAGCTTAGTAAATCTCACAGTTGCTCGTGAGATTTATAGCATTTTTCTGTTCAAAGAACACCATTGCACAGTTACTCTTGTCTACACTTGAGAAATCCTGGGGAGCTCGTACAGCAGAGGCTTCTGTTATAGTTTACTTTCCTCATCACAAAGAGGAACGAGAGCCTTTCCGGTGTTTCTTCCCGGTAGCTGACATAAAATAACATCTGCAGTTCTCTAGGACATACTGCTTCCATTGAATTAAAAAGCAATTGTCAAAAACCACACAGAGGTACAAATAGGGAAT